ACGATGGAAAATTGCATTCGAAATATTATATTAATTTGAAAAAAAACCATACCTCATCAGGGATCGAACCCCGAACCTTTGGATTAGTAAGACAACGCGTAACGCTTTGAGCCACGAGACCACATTTATTTACTTTCGATAACCTGACTTATATACTTAACGTTGTGCCTCTAGTGATATAAACAATAATTATAATGAATATATTGGCAGTAATAATATTATTTGCATATTTTGAAGAATTATCAAAAACGATAAAAAATAAATTGTTGCATATTTAAAAAATACCTATAGAAACTATAGTGCTGTAAAGTATTTTCCATGGTAATGATTTATACATTCGTGAAAAAACTATTTTCCTCACTTATTTGTTTAACTAGAAAAGTTTGCTAATAAAAGTTTTTGAATAACGAGATAAGAGATGTCTTGTATTATGTTCCTTTAGACGACAATTTTACAATAATCTCGCGGATAGGACTTTTTTCGAGTAAAAATTTAATTTCTACTACCTGATACTCAACAGAAATGACGTCCAACTGAAACTTGTGCCTCTTGAAGCGCAGCGACCCGCAGAACAGCGGCGCCTCGATGAAGATGGTGTACCTCGTGTAGTTATGACAGACCATGTTTTTAAACCTGAAGATCTCGCTCGAGTTGATAGTTTGGACCCCGTTGAAGGGATTTATAACAGTCAGGTCACAGGGCAACGTATTCACCACGTTGATGGAGGCGTGGTTCTTATCGGGCAGCTCGGGATAAGTGGTTTCCAGGACTAGTTCCAAGATGCCAGCGGAGAAGAAGGCCAGACCGGCTACTATTCCGCCGAAAGCCATGCGGTGGAGGGAATTCTCCAGGACGTGGAGCTTGGCGAAGCACGGGTAGAAGATGCGGTCGAATATGGGAATGAGGATGAGGACCATTGCAGGATTCACAACTTGCATCTGATCGGGGACTATTTGGGTTCCCAGGAAGTTTCCGTCCATGTGGGAAGCCTAAAACAGGCTTTTGACTTGGAGAAAATAATGTTACGTCACCATGATACGTGTGTGTTCCCGCACTTTGTTTTTATTAATTATTTTGAGGGAGAAATTGTGGAAAAAAATTTAAATTCTTTGCAGAATAACTTTCTACTAGGTGTACTTTCTGAATATGAATTTAAAAAAAATATGCTAAATGAACCCTTTGCAGTAAGGATATGCCAGAAGGAGAAGGAATTAATGGATCTAACGATTAATGATTGGAATGGCAGTAAGGTTTTACTTATCACAAAGAATAATCAACCTCAGGACGCTCAATCAGTCTAGGACTAATGCTGTTCTACTAAATTTATGTAATTTGCAGGAAATCGATACGAAAATATATTACATTTTATCGGTTTTGTGTAATGGTACACATTTCCTATATTTTTTTCTTTCTAATTTTCCTTAATTCATTATTTACAATTTTCGTGAATTTGTTTCAAAATATACCTGTTCAATAAAACTCAAGGAATAATTGTCTTGTATCAGTATTTTGTCTTTACTTGACTGTCATCATCAATCATCGAATATGATTTTTATAGATATTGAAAATTAATAACAGAATTTGATTAACTTGAAAACTTCAAATATTAGGTATTCCCCTCTAGTTCTATTTTTAACATAACGTGAACATAAAACGCGAATTATTTTAATCACATTGCATTATCAAAATAATAAATATTTATACGCTTCGTAAGAGACGTAATATTTTAATAAAAAATCTTAATAATCCTTTTTGATAAGCCACACTAAATAAGGATTTATATTGCACCCAAAGATTACAAACTAAACGAATCTATGGATTTTGATTCTGATGGCATGTTGGTCGTATATTAAATTCCTCAAAATTAATCAAGTGATAATGTTTCAGCCTAATATAATTTTAACGATAACGAAGCTAATTAGGGCAATTTAGATTAGACAGAAACTATGCAACCTTGAAAACCCCATAACAACATAACCCTATTCTTATTACTCTTGTATCTGCTTCTATGGAATACTCAACCTGAACTGAATTGTCAGTGTTGCGAGAAACAACTACTCCGAGAGCTATATACCCCTACCGGCATTGAATTACACTCGCAACACCTAGTGCAACAGCTAGGATCGTTTGTCATCAGTTTAACCCACCAGGCACAGACCGGTTTCGGACTTATTAGTCCTCATCAGTGCGTCATAGGTGCGACAACCGACAAACGACCCAGCTGTTCTTCGTCGTATCGTCACGACAAGGAAATACGTCCCGCGTTCAACATGAATTACCTGAAACGTCCATCTGGACCCTTGTTGGTCGAAGAGGGACCAAAATATAGGAAGCGGGGTGTACAGCAACAGGATGGCGCAAACAATTTTCATCTCTTGTATCAGTTTCAGGTCGAATTTGCCCCGTGCGTGGTCCAGCCAGTGGTCGTACCTCCTGCTGCTCTTACAACTCCTGGCTAAAGCGAACTAATAGAGAATTTCTAACGTTGTCGATGTCGGTAGGTACTTACTGTGCCACACTTGAAAAATTGCAGCATTATGTTCCTCTTGGGGCTCTTCAGCTTGTAGAAGCTCTTGCCAATTATGAACAAAACTAAAACACAGTATTTCTACTTGTAGCGACGAACAGAAAGAGGAGAATTAACCTGAAAGGGTGACTTTATCCCAGTGGATAAGTGGATAAATGAATATGCGGGGTTACAGACTCGATTTTTTTTGTCGGGTTTGTACTTACAAATCGACAAAAACATCAACGCGGCGGGGAACCCGAAACCCAGGGCGTAGCAGGTGTCGTCCCCGAAGCAGGACACCGCCTTCTTCATTATCGGGGTCAGTATCATCCCGACGAAGCCGCCCAAATTGATCGTGAAGTAGAATATCGAAAAGAAATGCGTTAGCAGCTCCCTTTGATCCGGCAGATGAAATTGCTCCCCGCCGAAGGCGGCGACGCAGGGTTTTATGCCCCCAGTGCCGATCGCTATCAGTATCAGGCCTAGGGCCGAGCATGTGCTAGAATTAGAAACATTTTTTTTACGTGATGGAATCATAGAACGCCTCGAAATGATAGAAAAGTTCCAATATGTTTATCCGAATAATTCGCAACACTATGTGAATATGGAACCTTCTAGTTGTGTTTTATGAACACTTACACGGGTGGTAACTCGAAAGAGGGAACAGCAGCAACACACATCAAGACGTTTCCAACCAAATATATCAGGGCGAAATTTCGGATTGTTCTGCGAATATAAATTGTAGCTGTAATGATGAATAAGGCCAATACACCAAGTGAATATCTCGAATGTCTTTTTTAGCAAGAAAATAATGGTTTAAAAAATAAAAAAATCTGAACCTTCTTACCTGTATCTTCCGAAATAGCTGTCGGCAAAGATAGCGCCTACCAAAGGTACTATGTAACATCCCATTATGAAGACGTGATAGATTACCGTCGAGGCATTTTCAGAAAACAGCAAAATGTTTCTTAAGTATAAAGATAGTATAGCTACAACAAAATTGTATTGTATAAATACGTAAATGAACTAAAACTGTTAAAATTTGTAAATATTTGTAATGTTTTTTTTTAATTTCATTTAAAATATACTTACTTCTTAGTCCGCAAAATGAAAATCTCTCGCAAAATTCAGTGGCGATGATACAGAACACTGCTGTACGATATGAGGCACCCTACATGGAAGAAAAATTACATAATTGTATATTAACTGCGACATACTTACGAAATGCATTATAAAAATATAAATTAAGTAAATTAGCAGTAATGTTTCATCATTATCATTGAGGTGTACTGTCATTGTCAGTGTCACATCGTGGATCAGTAATAGCGTTATATACCGATCAAAATAACTCATTTAGAGGGAAAAAAAAAGAAAATTGTTACCTGGACTTTCATAAGTGGAAATGGTAAAGGGGCTTATAATAAACGAAAAAAAATTAATGAGTGAGCAGAGGCGGCGGAGGGTTGATTTGGGGGGTTGAAAAGTTATGAAAAATTGTATCATTGGGATTTCTGGCAGATAGACCAGGGTCGATAATTTTTGAAACCAAAAAAAATTATAGTAGGATGAAACCCATTGGAAAAGAAAGAGAATATAACAGAAATGAAAGGAAAAATAATTTACGGGCGATCTGAGGTCGGGAAGGGGTAGGGGGTGAGTTTTTAAGGGTAAAAAACGGTTTATCTCGATTTTCGGAAAAACTACAAGTCTTATGGAAAAAAGTTAAATAGCAAAGTTGTAGGTAATAAAAAAAATCTACAACTTTTGTATTTACACTTTTTTCACATAACCTCAAAATTTATGTGAAATATTCAAATAATAATAAGTTTTTGGTTTTTTATTTTTATCTTTTACAAACAATTTTTTTTTCACGAAATTTGGTGGAAACTTACCTATTTATCTTCTTCCTCTAATTTTTTTCCTTTACGCAATCATATATTTACACATAATTTCACTACAAGGTACCCCTTATGACGTCACAGCCGTTTTGAAATATTATAAAAAAATCAGTTTTAAATAATTATTTTAAAACTATTCCAACGCATTCCTCAATCTCTAATTGTGCATACACACTAATTAGTACGTGTAGAATTATATTATCTACTTTTTGAAATTTGGTCAACAACCCTATTGAATCAGGGTTTGATTTTTTTTTTAATTTAAACAAATTATCAATAATTACTGAAAAATTTTTTACTTTTTTGCATTTTTGAGCATGTTTTTGAACTGTGATTATAAATTCTTTTATTTCACCAAAAAGTATAATTATGTCAAAACGAAAAAAATGATTACCAGCAGAACTCTGTACGATGATTTTTTAAGTAGAATTTTTCTTTGAAAAAAAGTGTTTCAGGTCGAAAAAAATGAATATTTCAGAAACTTCTTGATTTTTTTATCTAAAAAAATTTACGGTTATTTAAGACACAGAAAGGTATACTTTCACCAAGTTTCGTCAAAATCAAATTATTTTTGCGGAAATGAGAAATAAAAAACGAAAAATCAGAAAAAAAAAACAGTTTTTCGCATTTTTCTCGGAAATTTTGAGGTTATGTTAAAAAATTACCTCTACAAAAGTTGTAGATTTTTGCATGATCTACAACTTTTGTATTGGATACTTTTTTATTTGACGTCAACTTTCGCCAAAAATCCCAATGCTACAATTTGTCATAACTTTTCAACCCCCCAAATCAACCATCCGCCGCCCCTGCTCACGCATTTATTTTGTTTAGGTTTATTATAAGCCCTTTTATCATTTCCACTTATAAAAGTCCAATTTTTTTTCTCCAAGTGTAATTTGGTTGGACTATTAAACAAAATTGCTGTATTATTGTTGTCTTGATTTCCTTACATTTAAGGGAGTTGCTTTTACAATTTTAATTCATGTAATCATTGTTTAAATAAAATTTATATTTTAAGAGCACGTGAAAGAATGTACTACATGTATTACGGTACACAATTATAAAAAAAATATGTCCTAATCCTAATAAAACTTTTTGATTGGAATGAAACAGCGATGGAATTTTACGATATTTTTATTACAACTTATAAAATCTATGTTCACATTACATTAATGTATGTTACATTATTGCCCACGAAAAGCATTGCGAATGTTTGACATAATCATAAAACCGAGAATTGTGCTCTGTATACCTATTTAATTTAAAAAAAAAAACGTACAAAACCTATCCGACAACACTGGAATGCGTATAAATGAATCTAAAAAATACTTTTCGAAATGTAAATCTAAATATAAAGAATGTCCTAGTTTGTGTGTTACAAGGACAACCATATAATATCATATATTACTCATATCACAACATTTATGATGTATATTATACAGTATACAAGAATACATATTTCCATTTAGAATACCGCTTATTCTGCGACATAGGCAGAAATCAAAAATACAACTACGTCCGGAGCAAATTTCCAACCGAGAATGAATGTGATTTCTCTCAAAAGAACAAACGCCGAGTGAAGAATTTGCTCCGGAGCATAAATTTTAATTACCTTATAAAAATAAAAATGCACATCCAACACATACATAACTATAGTTATTATATTTAACAGGGATATTACATTTATGACTCTGGAAAGACGCTACAGATATATTATATTACTTCTAGAATTGGTGTTTGGTTTGGAGATCAACATATTTCAATAAATCCAAGCTTATAGGACGACAGTAGTAGAATATTTTGAATTAAGGTTGTGCCGGATGCGAAACCAAACGTCAATTCCGTTTACACGTCGAAAAAAATGCGTTTCTTGTCTACTCCTACGCGGTGCTGCACGAGGATGCAATCGTATCCACCGACAAACCTCCATGGTCCCGTATCACATTATTTTACAGTTTTGAGTGTCTATTCCTCGATAAAGTGATCACAGTTAGGAAGAAGGCAACATTAAGTATATGTTACAATGTTTCGAAAACTAGATATTAACCTAGCACTGTACTTGTCAGTAAGAATTACTGTTAATCTCTATAATTAAATTGGACAAAATATCAATAACAAGGGAGGTACTCCATAATAATAACAGTTCGTTTCTAACAAGTAAGTTTGTTTTGCGGGGGAACGCTAGATATTCTTGTTATGAAATTTGTTTTTCATTCAAAAATATCTTGTAATTCCGCTTACAGTCGTTTCAAGGTGTCAAGATATTTTTCGAGAGGAAAATGACATTTATTTTTACTTAATTAATAAATAAAGCTTATAATATCCTACTTTTATAAAGTCTTAATCAACTCTTTGCTCAAGGAGATACACAGACAATTTGCTATTATCAGCGTTTAATTCTCTTTAGAAAATTTATTGCAAAATTAAAGCATTAAATCTAAATCCCGGTATTATTATTCTTTATTGTTAATCTTAGAATTAAAGTAAACGACGTGGATTAGAATAACTGATAGTGATAATCATAATACTATTAGAAGATAACGCAGCAGCTGGAATTTGAAAAAAAAATAATTTTTAGACTAGGCGGTATCTGTTTTGGTTTGGGTGAAACGTATATCCACGGAGATTTTTGGCTTTTTGGCTTTCAAATCTCACTAGGAACGAAAATTTTTCTATGCGCATAAAAAACAACGTGGGCTTAACTTTTGGCGGCACAATATGTTATAAAAATTCGAAAAATGTCATATTTTTCTTCCTATTTAATTATGTATCTTTTCAAGAGTTGATTTTAGGCGAAAATGGAAGAGGAAG